GCAAGCGACATTTACCGCCTTGACCCTAAGTACATTATATCAACCTTAACAATACCACCACTTGTTCTTACTGTTTATCTGTAATGTGCTGTCTCTGAATTACGAATACAATAAATATAACACAGTATCATCTGCCTCTGCCATGGCAGGACGGTCGAAATCATAGTCTTTTATTTATCAAATCACAACGTAGGAAAGGGTCCTGACCGTGCGCGATCATATGGTGCCGTGACCAGGATAGCGCGCGCCGTTTAAAAGTGTCGTGATATATTTTCTGCGATCAACACCAGTGCAATGGAAAATTCCACAACGCTACCGGCTACGATGGTGTGGCTTTTCAAGTAGCCATCTAGCAGAGCATTCCGCTCGAACCCAGCTCATCCTCTGATACTGCTGCATACGGCACAGTATTTGGCTGGAAGCGAATGCTTATTCAACGGGCAAAGTGCTTACGTCGGATGTCCACCAGACTGCGTGTTTGCATCATACAACAATGTACCTTTTCGGCTGCAGTCTACAATGAGCAGCGAGTTTGTTGTTTTTCATCACTTCACACTGCCAGATCATAGAAGTCATCAAATTATTTTAAAACCATTGGTTTTGGCGGGCCGGTATGTTCGTGCAAGCGACATTTACCGCCTTGACCCTAAGTACATTATATCAACCTTAACAATACCACCACTTGTTCTTACTGTTTATCTGTAATGTGCTGTCTCTGAATTACGAATACAATAAATATAACACAGTATCATCTGCCTCTGCCATGGCAGGACGGTCGAAATCATAATCTTTTATTTATTAAATCACAACGTAGGAAAGGGTCCTGACCGTGCGCGATCAGCTTCTTTTTTCGTTTTTGGTCAATACTTTTTTAGGTATATTTTTCCAGTCTAATTTTTATCGAGATGAAGTACTTTGAAATAGTAATGTTTCGTGTTAGAAAATTTCTTGACTTCCCTGGGCATAGAGTATGATTGGACGGGTTCAAACCCCGTCCACCTAAACATGCCCACAAGCAGTCTTTTGAACTATTTTTTTCAAATTGTTGAAACTATAATGTCAAATATGGAACCAGAAGTAAAACTGCATATTTATGGCGACTTCAATCAACGAAACGCAGACTTTATTACAGACATTGAAAATGAATCATTTTTACTCCCGGTCGTAGCTGAAGACGAAGCATTACAATTATTATTCGACAAAATATCTTATTTTGGTCTTAATCAAATAAACCATGTAAAAAATCAACAAAACTCATATTTAGACCTTTTATTTACAAATTGTACTGAAGACTTCTGTGTGGATACATCATTAGCACCTTTATGGAAAAATGAAGTGTTTCACACAGCAATTGAATACTCAATCTTCATACAAAATTCTTCTTCCTCCAGCGACTGGGAATACGAGGAAGTGCCGGAATACCGTAAAGCAAATTACGAAGAAGCCAAACGTAGACTATGTACAATAAATTGGCAAAATTTAATAAGTATTGAAGGAAATGTCGATACTGAAGTAGAAAAATTTCACTTAATTCTACAAAACCTAATCTTAGAAACTGTACCATCAAAAAAAAGAAGACAAACACAAAACAATAAACTAGCCGCATGGTTCAATCCACAACTGAAAAATTTGAAGAATAAAAAACAGAAAGCTCATAAACTATACAAAAAAGAAAAAAACTGAAACCAATTTGCGAAACTATGACAACTTATGCAACCAATTAAATACAGCCACCAACTCTGCATATGAGGACTATAACCGCAAAGTCGAAAATGAAGTCAAATCATGTCCTAAGAACTTTTTTAATTATGTAAACACGAAATTAAAAAGCAGCAATTTTCCTTCGCGAATGAATTTGGATGCAAATGTAGGTGAGAATTCTTCTGAAATTTGCAGTCTCTTTGCAAATTTCTTCCAAGAAGTATACACCACATTTTCGGAAGAAGATCGTGACCGCGATTTCTTTGCATTCATTCCTGAAATTTCTAAAAACATCTCTGTCAACCAACTTTCTCAACATGAAGTCCTCAATGCACTAAAAAACTTAAACGCGTCGAAAGGGTCTGGACCTGACGGCATCGCACCCATATTTTTGAAAAACCTTTCTGAAGAACTCGCATTTCCTCTAGAGCGTCTTTTCAACATGTCTCTGAAAAATGGAAAATTCCCTGAAATTTGGAAATCATCTTATTTGGTACCTATTTTCAAATCAGGTGCAAAATCAGACATTCGAAATTATCGTGGAATTGCTATTATTTCTTGCATTCCAAAACTTTTTGAATCAATCGTAAACGGCAATATTTTTCAGCAGGTGAAAAATCTAATTACAAGTAAACAGCACGGCTTTTTTAAAGGTCGTTCAACTACCTCTAATCTTCTAGAATATGTATCTTTCATTATTAAAGCGTTGGACAGTGGCAGCACGTTGAAGCGCTATACACCGACTTCAGTAAAGCATTTGACCGCATCGACATACCATTATTAATCCTCAAATTGCAGAAAATAGGAATGGAGCCTGGACTTTTGAATTGGCTTCAATCATACCTAACACATCGTAAACAAATTGTTCGCTTTCAAAATAAACTTTCAGAACCAATTTCAGTCACCTCTGGGGTACCCCAGGGTTCTCATTTAGGCCCACTTCTTTTTATTTTGTACATAAACGACATTTCCTACATACTTAAAAAAATAAAATTGCTTGTATATGCAGACGACATGAAGCTCTTTATGGAAATAAGTAATTCTAGCGATGCAGAAGAATTCCACACCTGGTGTAGTAAAAATCTACTTCAACTGAACGTAAAAAAAATGTACTGCAATAGCATTTAGCAGAAAAATTGAAACACCGCATATTGAAATATCATTAGGCAACCAAATAGTAGAAAAAAGCAAAATTGTAAGAGATCTAGGTGTAATCCTAGACTCCAAACTAACTTATATAGAACATTATAATACTATCATTAGTAAAGCAAACAGAATGCTAGGCTTCATCAAAAGGTTCAGTCATAATTTCGAAGACCCATACACTATTAAGCTTTTATATACCACATATGTAAGGCCAATTCTGGAATACTGCCACCTAGTATGGAATCCATACATTTCCATACACGAAGAACGCATAGAATCTGTCCAAAAACTATTCCTTTTATATGCTTTACGTAAATTGAATTGGACTGCATTTCCATTACCATCTTATGAAGCGCGCTGCATGCTCATCAATATACAAACACTTAAGGAGCGCCGCCAATTTGCAATGCTTTTCTTCATCAACGACATTATTTCAATGCGCATAGATTCGGCTGAAATTCTCGCACAATTAAATTTTTACACACCTTGTCGATATCTTAGAACACGGAATTTATTTTCAGAAACATCGTACAGAACAAACTATGCAAAAAATAGCCCAATCAATCGAATGATGCGCCTATATAATTTGCATTGCGGAACTATTGACATCACTATATCCAAGCAGCAAATACAAACTAAGCTAAAACAGAATAGAATTAATGCATAGTATGTAAGTAAACATTGTAATAATCATTGTATGTAGTCTACACTGGCTTGACGAAATGGAAATAAATAAATGGAAATAAATTTTTCTTTTGTCGCTCATCATGTGTGCTTTGCTTCTCAGTATCTTCTTTCCAAAAATAAATGGATTGTTTATAATGTTTAGCAACCTTCTAGTGAATATATCTTGACTAAAGATAAAGTACATATACTAACTCTGCCCCACTCTGGAGCCGCTTCCCGAGCAGGAGAAAATAACTAATGAATAACTAATTTTGACCTGATACCAAAATTTGGTGTTGATCAGCATCCCGAGCAGGAACCGATAGCTAATCGATAATAAATGAATATCTTAATGTGATATGATACCAGATTTCTGTATGTATGTATATCAAAACCTTGTTTTGCCATTATTCAGTTATCGAAATATTTTGTAAAACATCAAATGAATACCAAAATAACAAATATGTATGAAAAGGGGAATTTATATAATTTCCTTCAATGGAATCTTCCTCACTACATTTCGAAACAAATTATTCTTGAATATTGTAATGTTAACCAACTATTCCAATCATGCATGGCGTTTTAATCAATTAGATGTTTTAAAGGCATTCTAGATTGAAGGCAACCAACGGTAACACAGATTCAATTTGTTGAATATTGTTACTACCTTCATTGTGCTTGGCCTCATATTTATACATACATAGTGGAGTGGATACCCAAATCGTATTGGGAAATATGAATTGAATTATTTTACAGTTCAGTGATATAACATAATAAAAAAAATCCCTATCCTACTATACAGAGAATATACAATATTTGTATTAGGATGGTTCAAATAATCGATTTTGTTTATTTTCCTGACGTACAATCACAAAGTGGACCTCGGCAAAGCTGTAGCTGAGAAAATTTCCTATACGTACATATAGCAAGCATTTTTTGATATTCCGTGTTGAGTATATTCATCACTGCGGCCATTTCTCAGATCTATTGTGATAATTATAGGAGCAGCAAACTTACCCGTAAAGCGTGATGGCGAAATACTAGGAAAGAAACGGGTAGGAGAACAAAAAGCTTACTAGCAGTATGAGATCGAAACCAAATGAATTCCGGTTTTGTGAAAATAATAAGGACCTGATTCAGAATCGATTGAGCAGTGTGGATCAAAATCGAAAGTTTGAACCACCCTGGTATTTTTATTAAAAAAAAAGTGAATCATCTCATAAATGGAACAATGAAACAGAAGCTATGCTTCACAAATTAAGATAAATTGGGAGATTATAATCATGATTAAGACATAATTATGCACGGAAATATCAAAATTCCAAACAACAGTTGTTCTTCCTACATCGACAGCAAACTTATAAGGAAGCCGCAGTCTCGCTTCAAGTGCAACCTTAATGCTCAGTGAAGATGCGTCCGGATGAAATTCAACACTAATTTCTACCCAGTTCAGTCGGTGCATGGACGTTTCACTTTCTAGAATGCTTGTTCTCAGCTATTCTAAAAGCTCTATAAAAGAGGGCTTGTCAAGCTCATACAGTCATCAGTTTGATACGACTGCGTGAATAAGCTACATCTAACAACGTGTTACCGAAAATGGCTTCGAAGGTAAATTCATTGTCGTGAAATTATCAATGGACAGATTAATTGAACTATATTATTCCCAGCTGTTGATATTAGCCGCTTTGATTGTGATAACGAGCGCTGCTTCCCGTCGCTATGATCAACAACGTCAGGCGTCGTCCTCAAGCCGGAATCAACAGCAACAGCAAGATCACCGGCCGCAACATCAACAGGATGAAGATCAACACTCAGATCCAAATTACGCGTATAGCTATGCCGTTCGGGACGACTGGAGTGGGGACTGGAAAAGTCAACACGAAAGCCGTCACGGTGACCAAGTTCGTGGTCAGTACCGAGTCATGGAATCCGATGGTACGGAACGTATAGTGAACTACAGCGCCGACGATCGAAACGGATTCAACGCCGTGGTACGCTACGAGCCGGAACGGCGTCAGCATCCAGTTCCGGTAGAGGCTGTTGCGGTTCATGCGATCAAAGTGTACCCAGTTGTTGATGCACCAGAGCATCGTCAGAACCGTGAGGATAATAAGGAGGCCACTTCCAGTATGCACATCTACCAGCAATACTCTCCACAGCCGTGGATGATTTCGAACAAGGTTCGTCATAACTGAACGGCGAATGGAGAGAATTTTACCGGCTGTGTACTGATGCATCATGATATAAATCGCTTTGAGTAGTAGGTATAAGTACTTACTGAGTGAATGTAAATAAATTAATTGTTATAAAGCAATGCACAACAAATTTCCAATCATTTGTATAAGGACATCATCCCGTAACGCGGGTAGATAATCTCTTCAGGGTGCGCTACGGTAAGATATACCGAGCTCTGCTGTTATGTGTTTCTTTTCGATTGTTATCAAACCCGGTTTGCCTATTTTAATGGGGAAACAAGATGTAAACGATGATTGGGACTAGAATTTCGATTCATGGTAGCAGCATCAGTGCAAAAGGGGTGCGTATTTGAAGGAAATGGAATGGAAACTTATTTGAGTTTTACAGCAGGTGTCGCTAGTGGAAACAAATTGATTTTAAACTGGATTATTGTTGGTGGTTTTCATTACTACAGAAGTACACAGTTCGAAAAAGAAGTGTAAATATCTGTTACATATGATGCACATAAATTGATCGTAATATATCAAACAAGTTTACACTATAGATCATGTAAAGTAATTAGACATTTCCTTAAATAATCCAAAAATTGTATGCTACATTTCTTGCAAGTTGCTATTTTGGATGAAAGAAATACAAGTTTACATGAATGGATGTTAACATGTTTTCGGTTCTAAGATCAAGTAATTTGGAAACATAATCAAATCTCATTAAATTATATTTTCGAATAAGAAGTTGTGACCTCAACCTTACACTTTTGGTAATCCATTGTAGCTCACCGGAGACCAGTTCCAGACCAAACACCATACAAATTTGGATTTTCGACTCGATCTTCTCGAATTTGAATGAAACTTTGCATATGTGTTTGTTATGGACAATAATTGTTTTTTTTTTTTCAAATATTCGGGTATTTTGGATTTTGTCATTTTTTTTTTCAAAATCGCTTTTTTGATATTTTTCAATCAACTGTAGCACGAAAATGTAACTTCTGATCGAAGTGACGTCTGAGACAATGTTGTTAAGAAAAGTAAGGACTTTAGGGAAGTTTTTTTTTTGTTGTAATTTTGAGCAAAAATCTAATAAAGTGATAAAAACTCAAATATTGAAAAAAGTAAAATTGACGACATACTTTTTGAGATACTTGAGTTTTTAGCATATTTTTAATTTTTACTCTTACTAAAAAACGGGTACATTTTCCAAGAAAAACTTTATTTGTGTCTACAACTTTGTCTCAGACGTTATTTTGATCAGAAGTGCCGTTTTTGTGCTATAATTTATTGAAAAATCACATAGACGTAATTTTTGCAAAAATACTAGATCCAAAATGACTGGTTTTTTTTCAAAAATGTGAAACAATTATGCAATGTTTTATGAAAATCAGAGAAGGTTAAGATGTTACGATTCCTCATTTGGCATGAAAATGCTCAAAATATACGATATGTGTGTGAGTGGCATAAGTGTTATCAAAACCTTCTTTTAGTCAAATATTCCCTTCAAACACACACACAATCATAAATCATGTTAGAGTTTTGTGTCAACTTCATTACTCATAAGTCACGTTTGGTGTTAGTATTGAACGATAAGTGTCCCTAGTAGCACCCTTGTTATAAATTGGTCTTGGAAACGTATATACGACTTATTTCAGTTATAAACAAGTTGCTGCAACTTTTTGGAACATAATTATGCTACTTGGGGTTAGTACACTGAAGTCTTTTTTTACACGGTTTTTTTTTACGCGGTGTTTTTTACACGGGTTTTTTTACACGGTTTTCCACGATTTACACGGTACGTTTTTAACGATTTCTCGACAACGATACAACCTATCGACTTGATTCTAAACACATTATCCGTTTCAAGCTATAGGTAATCGAATGACATACTTAAAAAAAATCACAATTTTTGGTGTAAATACAGAATTTTTTAAATATGTCTATATGGACCATATCATGCTTTAATTACAAATGGCATCAAAATCCGATTTTTTTAAAACATTTAAGCATGCGAAAAATCAAAATCTCGTAGTTTTTTTTTACACTGTTTTTGTTTACACGGTACGTATCCCCCGTGTAAAAAAAGACCTGAGTGTATTGAAGCATAAGGCGCTACCTCATTTGGAAAGTCGTTTCGTATAGTGCCGTTTGGCATAAAGTCAAATAGCATAATGGTAATTTCGAATAACGATTATTTGGCATTAAATGTACAGACAAAATAGTTAAGTGGTAGTCAATTTTCTAAACTTTCCTGGTCATACGGTATAAAAATGCATGCATGGGAGGCATAGAACGCTCTTAATTAATAACAGTGGAAATGTTTTAAAAAAAACACTACGTTGGGAGAGATGGTCATCAAATGATTTATAAAAAAAGAAACTGTATATTCTCTGAATATTTATTAAACAAGGGAATATTATTTATGTGTAGTCGAACACATTACAAAATTATTGACATTTTAAACAGTATGTGAATTCCGCTATACATTCTCAACTCGTTTTTTCACCAGCCAATACGTTGAAAGACCCTCTGATGAAAACCTTAGTTGCACACTTTTCACAGACCGTTCTGAAAACTTATATGTAACCCTTTTCAATCACAATAAATTTAATTGGACTGAAAATTTGCTACTCTACAAGTGCTTTCATAATCAAAGTGCCCCCTAGAATGGGACATAGGGAGGACATACAATGCATTTAATTTTAAGTGAAATTTCGCTCGATAATATTAGGTTGTTCCACTTAAAAGACTCTCTTTCAAAACATATGATTTTCTATTATTATTGAACTCAGAAGGCACGATGCAAATGAGACGAACCTCATTCATCGTCATTCCTAGCACACTGCACCATCTAATCCATCCTTAATGCTCATCTCGTCCATCATACAACGCACAACCCGCACTTTACCTCTCTTTTTTGAACGGATATGACTAACATATTTATTGTTTCTATCGGAAATGACTTCTAAATGTACTTACCTTTCCATGCGTACCGGTAGATTTGATGAAGAGTCACAATTTCAGGGTGGTCAGAAAATTTTAATTTTGGAATTCCCGGATTTTTTTTTCGGTTTTCCCGGGGAAAATCTTAACATATTCCCAGTTGTTCATATTGAGCAAGAAACGATATGTAAGAAAATTTCCAAGATTGGTTTTAACATTTGTTTATCGTCTCGAAAAAATCTTCGTGAATTGGAAATTAAAAAAAAATCAATCTGGAATTGAGAAAATATTCAAAATGTGGGATCTTGGAAAAAATAGACTTCCACCTAACATATTTTCATGACTTTGAAACTTGAAAGAACATTCAGGGAACTAACAATGTAAAGATTTGTTTATAGAATTCTGCCAAGAAAACCTATGGAAATGTGGGGTAGATTTAAAAAGAATCAAAGTGTTAATCGAGGGAAACAATCTAAGGGAGCTCTGACCAGAATAGCAAATTTGTATATAATCCTAAGAAAATCTAAGATAAATTCCAAAATATATCTGGGAAGAGATTGGATTGAATTCCTAGGTGATTCGGAAGTGATTTGTATTTGAATATAGAGGAGGATACCAGGGTTTAAGGAGAATTAAAAAAATAAACATAATGTTGACGATAATTTCAAACGAATAGTTTAAGAAACGAACTTCAAAGGAATTCATAATAAAATATCATAAAGATCATATTTTGAGGAAAATTAAAAAAATAGGACAATTTAAATGAAATTCTTAGGAAATTATGACTTGACGTGTCAGAAAAGAGTCGGTCAAATTGGAAGCAGTTTTCGTCGTATAGTTTCATCGAAGAAATTGAATAAGTATTCAACAGTTATCAGAATAAGCGCTGTCAATGGAGGAAATGTGTCATCAACGTAGAATGGTGCCATTCAAAAGGACACGCGCACATTAAGATATATGTAAATGTCATACCACGCCCAGCTCTACGATTTTTGCCAGGCTGTGTTGAAACTTCATCCAAGGTTCTTTCTTCAGGTTTTTTTTTTGTTACGTCGAAGGCAATATCTATGAACAACAAACAGCGTACGTATCTTGTTCCGTATCGCACACCTTGATGATTAGGACTTACCCGGCTTCCGAGCAACACCAACAGCAAAGAGTGCCTATAGCATCAAAAAAGTAATAGACAACACTCCGAAAGTAGCTCGAAACGCGATAAAATTCATAAGAGGCGCGTAATTTAAGTTGCTAAAATGTTTTCCATCATTTTTCCATTCACGCCCAATTCTGCCACCTCCTGCTTCCTCCTCTCGTTGTTTGGCTCGGATTGTTTGGTATACTGATCCACAGACGGTCGTGTCACAAGTGTATACAGATTGTAATGTTTCCCCGCGTTTGTTTGAAGTTGTTTATGAAACTGAGTTTCTTTTCCGTCCACATTTTTCCCGTGGCTCATCCTCCCCCTCAACTAGGCACCAACCGGTCGGTCGATGGAAAGAAATCAAATTTCAAAATATTTGTCAAAGAGATTAAAAGTTAATTATTGTGCACACTGCTGTCGCCGTCATCGTCGTCGTCAGCGACAGTATCGTCACCGACATCATCATCTAATTCGAGTGTCGCCAAATATCTGGGAAAGGGAAAGTTGTATACGTTTTGGGCTCGAAATTGGCCGATGCTGGTGCCTTGATTTGACGGCGAAAGAAAAAATCATCGATATGATTTCACTTCTAACAAGTAGTCGAAATTCCTATGCATAGGAATCGATGCGGAAAGTGGGAAATTGGTTCGCGCTTGTGCAACTATTTTGCCGGGAATCATATTCAATGCATTTGGAAGTGGTCCAGCAGAAAACATCGAACCTTGAACAAAATCAAATAAATCTTTGCAAAAGAAAATTTAGATCAACTGAACTCAATGAAGTGGTTTTCTTTAGCATGGTGACCACCAAATTATTTCCCGGATTTTACTCAGAATATTGGTAATTTTCCCGGTTATGCGATAGACAATGAAATCAAGCATTAAATCGAATGCGATTAAGCTGAAAGAAGCGCTATAATACATAGTAAATTGGAAATTACGAAGGTAGCAAAAATTT